TGCCAGAATCGACACCAATACCTCCCTAAAATAATTCAATTCTAGTCTGTCTGTTTGCCTGCCCGTAGACCTGTATTTCATAACCGTTTAAACAATTTCAATGAAGTTTACGTAAGTAAATAGTATAGGGAATCTTGTTTGCAGAAGGGTAATTTAGTGCTAACACTAAAGCTCAATAAAATCTCTTTGTTGAGAAACTTAGCTTATTAAAAGCTCTTCATGCGTGTGGAATGGCGGGCAAAATAAGTCAAGTTGATGGTAACGTAGATTATCGTGCTTTGGCCCTTTAATGGCAAATGAAAGGTGCCATATTTTCCTAATATAAAACTTAAGCAATGTTACTTAACATAACTATTGCCTGAGCGAGAAATAAGTCTCTTTCCACTTGGGTGTGTATCATCATCACAGCCTACAGTCACAGGTTACAGGCCTTTCCTATAGATGGAATAGGGAGATTTAACCATAACCAACCATGCGGGCCTAGTGCGGATTGGTGAGTGCTAACGACTGCAGATGCAACTGGGGCCAACAGCTTAAGAGGGGACGCGAGCTGAGAGAAATTTGAGAAATGGGTATTTGAAAAAACTATTTTTGTCGCACATGACAAATGCCCTGCGATAAGGACAACAATAACTAACGCTGAAAATTGCTTATAAAAGTTGTAAAATTCGAGGTTTAGCTCTCGAAGGTTTTCTGCTCTAAAATTAGATATATGTAAAAAAATACTTTTCACCTATAGAATAAATGCTAGTTATATTAAGCCTGTATGTTTTAATTTTTTTTTTGTAAATGCTTATTCAATCACTAGACATCTTTAGCGGCGACGAAAATTTGTTTATTTTTCGCATTTTTGAGGGCCTCTTCCTCCTTTTAAATATAAGCTACCGAAAAACAAAAGTTATAAGAGCATAGAATGAGTATAATTAGATTTTATGTATGAAAATAATTTCTTTAATGATAAAAATCAAGAAGGAATCAGTCGAGAACGTCTGTATGAAAAAAAATTACCCGCCTTCCCCTTTTAACGTGCCTTCCGAAGCACAGAGGAGCTAGAAATAATAAGTGTTTTGGTCATTCATTTTAATATTTAATGTATTTAGTTAATGGCCGTAATATAATAATGCATGATTGTAAATTTCTGCTGATATGATAATCAGGTAACAGAATACTACAGTAATAATGCTGTGTATGGCCAGACGTCGGGTGCGTCAGCTGGAGAAGTTTGATAAATTTTGGTGGCTCGGCCTATGACAACAAAACTAAGAATGCATCTGTTATGTATTTATTTTGTATCTCACATAATTTTAGTAATTACTAGTTAAGAACTAAACCACTAATTATTTCTTACCGGTCAGGCCCCTTGCTCAAGAGATGAAGTTGAATCGGTCAAACCCATTGTCTTGTCAGAAAATGGGTTTGACCGATTCAACTTCATATCTTACTTCGTTCTTACTCTCATCCTTTATACTTTTTACTTATTTTCTATTACGTTTCCTCTCTTTCTCATTTCGCTTCTAACTATTAATAAACCGTCCTAAACTCTTTCTCTTTTTCCCACCCATACGACCTCCCTGGCATACATATCGAAGCGGCCTCGGATTCTTATGGACTTATTCTACCAACCTGTCATAAAATTTAAATGTAATGAACAAATAAGCGAATAAAAAAACCTGCGAACGCCTACGGTTGGCTAACAGCAAAGAAAATGGTCTGCAAAATATATTGTATCTGGAATCAAGGAGACAAATCTGTAAAAGATACCATTTTTTTGGTCTGATTACCATTAGTTTGGTCTGATTATTTTGCTTAGTTAGAAAACTTACAGCGTTAGTTTTAGCAACAGCTATAACTAATTAGGAAACTAGACGTGTTGTGTGACCATTAACACGTGTTGAAGTGTTATGAGTATCCCAAAAAATAGACAGAAAAAGACAAACTTCATTTAAATGCGTTAAAATGAATAAAATAAAAAAAGTCTTTTTAACTTTTACTATTCACTTGTAACGTCATACACAATTTATCTAATGTTAAAGCTTGTCGCCAGATTTAAGAAGATATGTTTGATATTTAATTAGTTCTATATTTTTTTAGTATAGTGCCACTATACTTAGTTTGGGAACTATGAGAAAGCCATTGATTTGATGGAGACATGGGCTGTGTTAAGATCTTTGCAGAGATGCCGTATCGACTATCGCTATATCCAAGTGCTGAAGAGTTTCTACGAAAGAGCCACCATGACAGTCCGCATACAAGACCAGACTACTAGACCTATCCAACTACAGCGAGGAAAACCTACTTAGTAACTATTTATTTGTAAGCAGAATTAAAGATCGTTTTATGTAAGTTTTTACGTGGCACTTACCCTATTTATATCTATGAGATTATGCATAAAATCCACACAGGTTGGACTAAATGTTTGCTACCCACAATCTTACTTAGTTGAGTTGGTACCTACCAACTTGCCTAATCTATAACGTTGACAGGGAGATGTCATCTCCCCGAAACTGTTTACCACTGCGTTGGAAGACGTCTTTAAGCTTCTGGATTGGAGCGGACTTGGCAACAACATTAACGGCGAGTCCTTTACTCACCTTCGATTTGCCGCTAATATAGTCGTCATGGTAGACACTTTAAACGAGCTCAATATAATGCGCAATGACCTCAGCCCAGCCTCTAAACGGCCTTAAAATAACATGAGTAAGACAAAACGTCTTACACGAACTACTAACGAGAAAGTAAATTTTATGGCCACATCAAAGTTTCTATGGAAACTAAAAGCGGGCGTAAAGGAACAGACTAGCTTTTTCCATAGAAACTGACGATGGCGATACGAATACGTTCTCGCTAGTTGTTTGTGCTTTGGATACAGAACAGAGATAGTGAGTAAGCCTAACGTACGAACTTGTTCTCTGTTAAGAAATCGTAAAAAGTGTACTTACCAAAATAAAAACTATGAATACGATAAATAATGTTATTGGAAAATATAGTTAAGTACTTCAAGGAGCGATTCTAAAAAACTACACAAAACCCTTGTACCATCAAAAATATTGACATTAAAATTATGAGTAGGTAAGTAACTTATTATCTAAATATTGTTCAAATGTCAATGTTTTTAAATGAAATAAAAAAACTAATTGGTCCGTTGACAGCTGACATTAAATTGATTTAAGCAGATAAATTGTACTTATAGCTTTTTTTCTCTTCATAAAATCTTATTGCAAAATAATCAGACGACTTAATCCTTTATGTACGACATTTTCCTTAGACAAGGTGACACCCAAAAGACCGTGGCTTTTTTAGAATGTTATATTTCTAATAATGTTGTATGTAATGTTCATTAGTTTTCCTTGAGCACATAGGTATGTACAATATTCAGAAGTTAGTTAATATGGATGATCGTAATTGGCCCACAAAATTACAACCAAATTTTCATGTATAAATATCAAGCTGTGATTGCTTTTACAATAAATAAATACCTAAGTGTTAAGTAAAAACCGGCCAAGTGCATGTCCTGAAAAGGTTGTCTATATAAACTCCTCTGCAAGCAGCTGTTTAGGTGTGAACTCCAAAATATCTAATAGTTATAATGGTACAACGCGCAGTATAGGGTTCCGTAGGTGACAGTCGTTACCACAATATATTTCAGAAGGAGTCCCTATTATCTTTACAGCGCCTTCTAACGGCAGCTTTGTAGAACTAATGATATTTTGTTGTGTTTTTTACATAGTTTTTTGCTTTTGTATTTCAATGCAATGTTTTACGCTTTATAAAACTTATTAACAAATAATTACTTCATCTAAGTCACTTTTAATGTTTAAATCTAAAGAAAATTTTACTAGAAAATATTCCACGCGAACCAGGCAGCAGACGGGACTCGAACCCGCACCCTACGCTATCCGTGCGGATGCACTGACCATTATGCTACCGCGACCCTAAACGACCGTGTCGATTTTTTTTTTTGAGTATTTCTTAGGCTGCAAGGCAGCGCCATCCCTTTACATTGTAGGTAACCCACAATGTCAAACGAATACCTTTACAAGTATTAAACATTTGAAAGAAGAAAGAGCAATTGTAGATTATATTTTTGACTTTGATTTGACTGCTAGATGTTAAAATTAAAATAAAACTTTACTATACTAAATTCCCGGCCATGCATTGTGCATATTATGACGTCTCCGCTGTTATCATCAGGGTCATATGGACCGATAAATTATTCTGTTGAGTTTACCGTACTTGACTAAAACCAAAACAACCGCTACGATAACAGTTAATTTAAAAAACTCGCCAAGTGTGAGCCGGACTACGCACGAAAGGTTCCGTAGACAATAATATAGATACTATTAAGTATGTTATCGAGCAAAAAATAGCAAAATTTTGTTTGTTGTATAGGAGTTTCCCCTAAAAATTTATTTCATTCTTATTTAATTATATAAAAAAAAAATATGTGAATATACAATTAAATATTCTGTGAATATTTCAAGTGTCTTCGTGTTGCCATTATTAATATAGAGCAAAATCACAAAAACATCACGTTTAGTGTGTGGGAGCCGAAGTTAAATATTGATTTTATTCTTCTTTTAGTATTTGTTGTAATAGCGGCAACAGAAATACATTATCTGTGAAAATTGCAACTGTCTGGCTATCACGGTTCATGAGATACAGTCTGGTGACGGACAGATAGACAGAGAAAGGGACAGTGGTCTTAGTAATATATAAAGTAATATATGCGTCTCTTAAAGTTTCATATGGTATAAACAATATTATACCATATGAAAATTTAAAACACGCATCGTGATCACCAGTTTATCGAGCGTGGATTCAAACCGGCTCAGCGATGATGCCTCCTTTATTTAATACACACATCTTTATTCCACACAACAATACAACACAAAATGAAGTCTTTCCTGCGAGAGAGTACGATACAAAATTGTCTGTTAACCATAAATACCTATAGAGGTCTCAGTGTGCCGTCTTTCAACGGAACATGTCAGTAAATTGCAGGACACTGTCGCGGTCACAATGCGGACAGTCGTGTTTTTTCTATTCAGCGCCGCGTCATGTTATTGTGCCATCCAATTCAGTGATAGACCTCGGAACTTTAGCATAGAACTAGTGCACTACACCCAATTGGAAACAAACGGTCATGTAGTTATATCTCCTTTCGGAATATGGACCCTGATGAGTGGCATAGCTCTCGGAGCCACGGGGAACAGCTTCGACGAATTGGCAAGGGCGTTCTTACTGCCAAGAGATAGCAGAGAAATCATCAACGGCTTCAAAGACTTAACGTCCGCAGTGTTAAACGTAAAATCCAAAGGAGTCACTCTGACATCGAAAAACTTTGTTTTCTTAGACGACAACTTTAGAGTTTTCCCCGATTTTAAAAGGGCTCTCGAAGTCGATTTTGGTGCTGAAATTGATGTTTTGGATTTCAAGAATCCAAAAACAGTTGAAATTGCCAACGGCAAACTTGAACTGCCAGGAGCCAATGTGCGGAATGTCTTGCACTCAGATGATTTCGCGCAATCTAGAATGATACTGGCTAATATAATTGCCTTTAGAGGTCTTTGGTCTTTCCCGTTTGACAAAACCAAAACTCAGGAGGAGACTTTCTATGACGAAGACGGAAATCCGGTAGGTCGTGTAAATATGATGTATCTAAACTCAGTAGTTCCACTGTCAAACATAAGAGAGATGCAATCGCTTGCTTTAGAGATGCCTTACGGCGACGACGGAAAATACAGCATGCTATTCCTCCTGCCCTCTCGAGGTATGAAAATTGTAGATGCTTACAAGAAACTAGCACAAATTAGTTTGAGGGATATTTTCGACCAATTGAGAAGGGATAGCGACTATTACGAAGGGCAGGAAACGGAGGTCAAAATACCAAGATTTAAAATCAGAACCAATATTTTGATGAATAAACCTCTAACTCACATGGGTGTGTTCGATATTTTCGAGGCAGATCGTGCAAGATTCGATAGAATCGCTAATGAAGATATTTTTATATCAGCAATAGCACACACTGCCGATATAGAAGTCACAGAATCGGGTACCGTGGCTACGGCTACCTCAACAGCAAGTTTTGTTGACAAAATATCTTCTCACGGATTTATCGCCAACAAACCTTTTATATACTTTTTGATGGAGAAAAGTACCATGACTATGATCTTTGGTGGCATATATTCGAAACCGACTATTTATTAAGAAAGTTTATCAATATCGTTATTATTGTCTAAATTCTAATTTAATCATTACAAGACTGTTTTTATGATGTCGCTAAGATAGAAGGTGAAACAAATTGATATGCCAATAAATATTTTTGTTTTATTATTAATAAAACCACAATTCCAAGACTATCAAGGTATTTAAATTTCGAAGTCTAAAAGGAAAATAAGTGATCATACTAATATTATAAAGTATCTTTCATAAGAGTGCAAAATAATGACATGACAGCCACACAGCTTGCACTTATAATTAATTATAAAAATGGCTCTGGGTCAAAAAACAGAATACAAATTTACATTATGTACGTACCGTATTATTATGATCTAGGTCTAACCATACTGTTGCTATATCAACGATAACTTTATCGTTGTATTACACAAGTCCCTTATTTAGAGTGATTTCTGTCGATAGGTACTCCCAGACACGTATGTCTTGTTCTATGCGCTTCGTGTTCTTTTTATTTGTAATTTGCTCTTTAAACTGAGTATAAACTTCTGAATTTTTTTTTTAAATATTAGCAACAGTGTTTTACTTCAGTTGATGCTAGTAAAAAGAAGGCACATTTTTCATATATATCTTGCCTTGCCTAAGTTTATTTCCTTATAGAACTCAACAAACTAGTTCAGTGTAGGCAACTGTTATAGTCAAGATCGACACTGATTTACTTCTTTTCACAGCAAATTCCACTCCTATTCCTACGCAATAAAGGTGCTGTCGACTTCAAGTTATATCCACCAATGTAATCTGGCCTATACTAGTTATGGCCCTTTAATAAGATTAGTGCCTGTAGCGTGACCCGGTTGATAGCGCCTTCTTCATCACAAGAATGAAGTGCTACTTTTTACTTTTGTATGCTTAAACACAACGTTAGCGAAATAAATTTAAACCTTCATATTTGAACGACCAACAAATGAATGTCGCGTGACTTTAAGCACATTCTGCTCGAGCCCTAACTCAACATAATTTATTTGAAACAGCTGTTATTTAACTTAAATTATTGATCTTCGAAACGGGTTTCACCATTCAAAACAAATTATAAATGACGCAATACAGACATGATTTTGTTTAATATTTCCGTGGCATCATTAGAATCAGGGAGAATAACTTGAACATTTATCCTCTTGTATTCAAAAATCAGAGTCCGAACCTAATAAGAATTCTGTTTAAATAATGCTACAACTTCACATGCCTATTCTTCTTCTTCTCCTTCTTCTTCTTTCTGTTTTAATGGCTCAACGGGGATTTACACACAATTCCGCCAATTTCACGTAGATAGCCACTACACGACAGGGATTCTTAATAAAATATTTTTGAACATAAAGTTTAAAATACTGTTTTAAAAATTTGTCACTTACTATGTTGATTTAACGACCGACCATGTAAAAAATACGACACATTTTAGGGCATGCATTCATAATATATCCCAGGTATTTAAATCTACGCTGAAAAATCCCTAAACGGGGATCCCGCGGTTTCGCACTAAGTAGGTTAGCCATTAATACCCATTCGCAGAGTTTTAGCGGATATTATGCCGTAAAATGCCCTTTAGTGTTACGGGGTCCTCAGTGGGCAGCCACTGCGGGGGCTCGTAAGGCTTGCGGGAGCCAGGTGTGAGGTCCGTTCGGCGGTGCCGCCGAACGGACGCCGTCGTCTGTAAACAGAGGTTTTCCCTGCGTAACAAACAAAACAGGTATTTAAATCTGCGCCATTGAGCATAATAGTCGAAACATTTACCGGTGAAATTCTGCCTCGTTTCAAGATAAGCACTTCGCTCTTTAACGAGTTGCAATGCAGCCCATGCTCCGTCGCAAACACCCCACAAATCGCAATTATTTGGCGTATTGACCCGAGCAACGGGTCCAACAGCACCATATCATTAGCGTAGCGTAGCATTATTCACACTGATTTCATCTATAAAACACACAGTATGAGTGTCACTGAGCTCGCCGATGAGATGGTCGACATATAGGTTAAACAGTAGAGGAGAGGTGATCCCACCCTGTCGCACACCACACTCCATACAAAAAGTATCAGAAATCGCGCCTGTCGGCCTGACCTGATTTCGCTGATCACCATACCGGGACCGGAGAAGGAAAATACAAAAATTAAGACCGGACTGAGTGAATACCGGCGGGGAAAGTTCCATTTATGTAAGCGGTGTGGGAGGCTAGTCCGGAGGGTCCGGTGGTACACAAGGGGTCTTATCCATTATTGCTATGTAATCAATGCATAGGACAGGAAAACATAATTTTAACGGGACTTACCAACACCTGTTGTTAGTATAAAAAGCAAACACTTATTTTTCCCTCTTTAACAGCTTAGATATGCTCTAAGTTTTACACGTACAAAATGACCAACACTACCGAGGACAAAATCTACATGGCTATTTGTACTTGCTATTATTTTGTCATTTTGACAGCAGGTTGTCCTTATCATACTGGATAGGGTCTAAAAAGGAGAGACTGTTGTTAAGTTTACACATAGCAAATACCATGTATAAATGCCGGCATGAAATAGATATCGGAATCGGACTTGCGTATTGCGCAGAGCTTACAACGGTTTCTGTATCTTAAGACAAGAAGGTACGAAACCCTAATTTGAGAAATATAGGAATTGGTATTTCCAACCACAAATTTAAATTTGAGGAGGAAGTAAAATACGTCTTTTTTATCTTATCTTTATTTGGAAAATAAACAATGTACACTTACTATAAAAAGTTATTACTATAAAAAATTAGTATTAACAGCCAAATCTACAATAGGATTTTATTAGCAAAGGATAAGAACCACTTTGTATGAGGGGTTGGTACGGCTATCAAGTTCTTTGTGCAGGAGTAAAATATATGTAAGTAGGTATACCATTGTAAAGCTTATTATTAATGTATACTGTTACTCTTTAATTGAATTCGATAGCATGAATTGAATAATAAATATTTAAAGAATAAAAAGGACTTTCCTGGTGTAATCTACATGTTAAACATCATTTTTAAACTAATTTGGAACAACTAAATGTCTTCGAAGACATAGCAGTCAAAAAATGGTTGCCTGTAAAGTCGGTTTTACGGGCGAAGATTTTACGTGACAACGTCTTTTTCTCGGTAGAATATTTATTGATATGAATATAATTAAATTGCACAATAGGAACAAGGAATTGAATGAAAATAAGAATTGCACAAATTTTAACTATAGAAATATATTTTGTTTACTAAAACATTGTACATGTAAACTTAAACTTAACACGAGAGACTCATCGTAACGTTACCGAGCGTTACACTTTTTCATAAGTGACTCCCAGCCGCAACCTAATTTAAGACGTTGTCACGTCAAAATATTCAAAAATAGCAAGCACACTTTTATGTTGACACACATTCCTACTATCAACATAAGGATGGTTGATCAGATGGAGAGTGAAGCTGTTTGTATTATGAATAATTCATCAGAAATTATTACAAAAAAGGCAGAGACCCATTAAAAGAAACGTAATTACAACAAACACTTTATTCATTATTTTCTTCGTTTTTTATGTCTTCTCTCACAAGTATATTGTTAAAAATATGGCTGGAGCAATTACATTTTCGGTGCGATGCCCATCACAAAAAGCATTAATCGGTCATCCTGTGAATCGTGTTAACTAGCATTTGGTAAGCATATAACAACCTCAGATTAACTGTAGAGCGATTCTATAAAATAAAATCTCATTTCCGATTGCGGTAGCTACAGTTTACCATATAGTGAATGTAAAAGTGTTTTAAATGAGTGGCTGCTTAGCCTTCGATATGAAGATATCGAATCTCTTATACAGTAAAATAATAAATAAAAAAATGATGTAAACCTACAAAATACAAAGAGAGATACACACACACACCCACACACACACACACACACACACACACACCCACACACACACACACACACACACACACACACACACACACACACACACACACCCGCACACACACATACGCAAAAACGTTTTTATAAATATTAAAGTTAGTATTTTTAGTGTTTATTGTTACTAGTTATCATGTTCGAGGTGGGGCGCTAATAACTGCGACACAGTCTCTGACTAATGTAGCGTTTTACATTGTTCTGTACAAACTATTAAAAAAAAAATTTGGACATTAGTTTGATATGCGTTACGCTATTACACGGCATAATGTCGCTCAGTCTGTAGAAGCCGCCAGTATTAGATATTTGAAATTTGACAGAAATCCAAATAAATACTGAAGAATATTTATGCTGAATTAACAACGTTGTCTGTGTGATGAACTGCTGATAATCCCACCATAAACACGAAACACGACACTCTTGCGTTGCGTCTTGCCCAAAATATTCAAGTTTTGGCGTTCCATTCTTTTGGTATTCTAGTATGGGAGCACAATCATTGACACCTATGTTTATCATTGAAACCTAATATATTTTCTGCTTTCCAATTTTGGAACGAAGTTTCTTAGTAGTTTGGCAGATGAGGATAAAGGGAAAATTTACTATCTGGGTCCAATCCGCACTGTGCCCATTCTGCGCAGGGACCAATCCGCACTAGGCCCATTCTGCACTGAGTCCAGTGTGGATTGGTGTGTTATACATATTTTTTGTCACGTCTATTCGAAAAGGGGTAGTTTGTTCTCTGATTACAGTGACCGAAATAGCGTTTTGACCCCAAGGGACCAACAAGCCTTTTAATCCCTAGAGACCAAAACAGCGTTTTAAACCTTGGAGACTTGTTAAAAAAAAAAACCGGCCGATTTTCCTATTTTTATTTGAGTTCTACTGTACATCCAGGCTTCATTTATGTTTTAAATCAATCCTGAACAGTTTATCTACAAACTTAGCTATATATTAGATGTGTAAATTAAATACCATTACTAGATATGATAAAACGCAAAATATGAAAAATGAAAATAATTTTTTCAACTCGTGGCAGAAATCCTCCACTTGCACAGACGAGGAAAGTTCAATTAATTTTTTTTGTACAGCTTTGTCCAACACCAACCTAAGAAAAAATATTGGGTTCAAGACATGGACATAGTAATTAGGTACATTTTATTCACTAATATCCAGACGAAACTTTAGCAAAGACAGGCAAAGAGCCCGACTTTTTAATTTAAAAGGAAGTCAAAAAGATGTAATTTTAGCTCTGTTGCCACGAGGATGGCATAGAGGATCAAAAGTTGTCAAAATGACATCCAAAGACGTCAAATGGCAACGCTTGATCGGCCAGTAGTTGTGCACTAGTAAATATTCCATTTTACGGGTGATGTTTTAGGTCTTATAAAATAATAATTAATGAAGTTATTATGAAAAATAAATTTGTATTTCAGTTATTTTATGATCGTAGATCAGTTTTATATAAGTTTTTGATATTAATTGTACTTTAATCAATATCAAAACGCGAGGTAAACTGCGTCATTATTAGGTAAAACTCGTGGAGGTTAGCTGTTTTATACGTAATTGTATGTTTTGTTATATTTGCATGAGACGGAAAATCAATATTGTGATACATTATGTTACAACAAAAACATATTTCTGAGATAACATAGCAATTGATTTAAACTGGTTCATTAAACATAATGCACAGATTTACCGGTTTAAAGTTATGCATTTTATCGTATTTTTCGTAAACAAGGTCGTTCTACCGTAGAACGATCAGTACAAAAAACGAGCGAGCCTTACAATAGTCGCGTATGATGTGTAACATTTGAAACCTCACCTTATATAAGTATAAAAAGAAATAAAACCTACTACAAAAGGAATAAGACATTTGAACATTGTGTTCTAAAATCAAATCAGATAGCGCGCGCTTTCGCGACTACCTGTTACACACTTCCATCCCATTTCACGAAATCACACTCACAAATTGCAGGAAAGCGAGAGGAAAGATGTTACACATCAAAAAGGATAATAATATTTGCAAATATTGTACATTAACTTACAATAAGAAAGTTAAATCTACTTACTTGTTTCAGAAATAGTCAAAATCATTTCTAAGAGGGTAAAGTGAGCGCTCAACAATTACGATTTCTCGCAAAAAATGTATTTAATATTTAATTAAATAACAATACAAGCACTTTATAGTATGGAAATATTTACATTTATTTACCATCCATTTATTAAGATAAACGGAGGTAGTCCTATTATTAGTAACAGAGTCCATAAAACAAGCACAAATCTGTGTTGTCTTTTATCAAAATCTTTTTGACTTTAAAGAAATCGTAGGAAATCCCACAAAATAAAAAATAACATCAACACAAACCCCTTATATTGATAACATACATAGTAACTAGTCTGCTTATTCTTCGTTTATTGAAACGAAGAATAAGCAGACTAGTTACTATGTTCATGACACTTAAATGCCATTTGTTATTCAATATTCAATTCAAATCACACATGATGATACTAAAAACAGTAAGAATACACTGGGGGTTATTGGATGTAAAGGAAATAAATTAAAGAAGTACATAAAAATTAATAAATACATTAAAAAAACTCAAAAACTTGTAAAAAAACAAAAGTTCTTTATAAAAAATGTAAAATTAAACAAGGAAAGATTGCAATTAATTGATAAATTGGATATATATTCAATAAAATATGACAACATTAGCCTAAGATATAAAAAAGACACACAAACATTGCAAAGTAAAATTGAACAATTACAAGAGTGTCTTATAAATGTTACAAAAAAATATGAACTGTCACAAAAAGAAATAAAGGAACACATGAAGGCACTGAATGAGTTGGTTGAATTATGTAATTACAACAATGACAGATTTAATTCTTTAACTAACAATCACACATGTGATTGTAAACAGTTAACAGCTCAGTCACCTGTCAATTGTGATTCCTCCATATCACAACATGTAACTATTAGTTCCCCACAGCAGCCATCAAAGGAATGCTTGACTTCAGTGAAAACAATTCACTCGGACAACTTAGTTTTAGATAATAAATATGAAAAAATCATATTATTTAGTGATGAAATTGGCAAGGGCATGGGCCCTCTTGTATCTAAAATGGGAAATTCAATTATCAATCACTGTATGCCTAATGTTTCTTATAAGGATATCTTAGGAAATGCAATCAAACAGAATTATAGTAAATGCACTACTTTGTTATTTTTTGTGGGAAATAGAGGCAATTTGAACAAAAAATCATTGATTCAATATGTCAATGACCTGAGCTCATTAAATGTTGAAAAAATTATATTGTTTACATTGCCCTATTGTAGAAGTCTGCCAAAGGAGGAAAATATCTTAAGATATAAATTAAATATGCTTTTGTTCACAATGTGTAAAAGTGAAAAATTTCATATTATTGACACTAACAATTATGTTAGAAATTTATATTTGACCAAAGATAAATATTATCTTTCTAATTATTATAAAAGACAGATAGCTAAGTCGCTATCATATTATTTTTATATAACAGCCAAAAACTTGGCTAAACAAATTGCTTTTATTGAGCAATGTTCCATTGACTTGACAGTCAGTAATTCTTCTACTGACAAATTACAAAATAATAACTATTGTTTAAATTAAATAATGAGACAACAGACAACTCGTCTTGCTTAATAATAAATAATTATTGTAATAACTTGCATAAAAATATTAATTTAATTAAGAAAAATCCCAAACAATTAAAAGAAAATGTAAACTTGATCAACCTGATGCATATAAATATTCAAGGAATGATGGGTAAGGACTTAGAAATTGAATTATTTTTGAATTGTAACAATATAGATATATTTTGTATCACAGAGCATTGGCTTAAAAGTCATCAATTCATCTTTAATTTTAATAATCATCAGGTTGGTAGTTCGTTCAGTCGAGAAGATGCGATTCGCGGTGGCTCTTTAATTTTATTAAATAAGGCACTTAAATTTAAGGAACGTAAAGATATTGTGAGCCTCTCGGTTGAGCGAACAATAGAGATTGCCTGTGTGGAACTGGACCAGCTTGTTGTATTGAG